CAATTAACGATACTATTAAAGACTAACATACAGCATTCCTCAAGCTTTTGTATCTGTGACCGTGACAATACAATTGAACAGCAATCACCCTGACAAATGCATTTCTAATGATTGGGCTGTATAGCATGTCTTGAGGTCATTTATATACATGTATGAACAATTTCACGGGACAAACCATAATGATATATTTTCATCCAAGATAAATGACCTAAAAATGATTAAGATAAATAAAAGAATATACAGCAGCACAGTCAGAATTTTCCGACAATCCATCACATTTACAGACAATTTACAAGTACATGCCTTGCAGACATGTTGATCAGGTCATTTATATTATAAGAATGATTTCACAGACCAAACACCATAATGATATTTTTGATCAAACATAAATGACCTACAGGATTATGATAACAGAAGACTATGGAACTCATACAATTTGTCGTCGTAATTTTCAAACCAGGTTTTCAAAATTAATATTGTAAGTCGAAGAAGAAAATTTTCAAATGACCAGCAAAAGATTCCCCTCGGTATCAGTCTAAAAGATTAACTTATTTCTTTAAAGATAAGCTTCCAGGAAATGAAACGCACGCACACAGTAGCTAAGTCAACTGAACAGTCCACAAAGGTTGTTCCAATTTTATTTATTTGTGTAGGCATTGGCAATGTGAGCATTTACAAAATATTTCAAAGGCGACCTTGTCTCATGAACATAAATTTCAAGTTAATCAGATGATAACTTTAGACTCTAAGAGTGACTACAGGATTTTGAATGTCGACCACATCTCATAAACATAAACATGAATATTTAAATTAATGGGAAGATAATTTTGGGTTAGGCTCTAGAATGTTTACAAGATTTTTCAATGGCGACCATGTCTCATGAACATAAAACTGTGAATCTTTAAATTAATATGGAAAGGTAACTTCAGACTCTTACTACAAGATTTTTTGTCTCATAAAAATAATCACTGTGTATAAATTTCAAGTCAAAATCAAATGGATGATAACTTTATCCTCAGGAGTGTCCAAAAACATGTAGACAGAAAAATGAAATGATGTTTAACATCCTACTATTCTGTTCTGACTGGGCTAATGAAGACCGGCAAGTAGTTTTTTTTATAGGTGAAATTTTGCCCGGACAGTGGCACTAGGGCCCACTCTTATTTCGAATTCCATCTGTCAAAAGTTCTTTACTAGCAAGTCAATGTTTATTCAGGACCTCAGCTTTTCGTTCTGCATCACTGACCACTGTATCCAGTACATTATCATCATATAAATACTTTAAAAACAACCATTTTATTTTTCAGGACAATCCGATCAAATTTAATTTTTGTCAGATTTCTGAAGCATGGTATTTAATGATACCGTTACATAATTAATTCTTTCACATTCAATGATGTTAAATTTGGAATGAAACTAATAGATCTTTATCCTCAACCAACCTAATGGCCATTTTAAAGTTTTATTTCTCTTCTGGTATCACCAGTGACAACTTTTCCCCAGTGCCCCACCCTAATATATTCTCCGACTTCATTTTAGAGAATTTGTGTTAAGAATTGCCAGATGGCACACACTAACAATGGTGTGAATAATACAATATAATAATCTGAATCAAGGGCAATTAAATAGCATACTGAACAATGCAAATAATTACTTAGTCATAACGACGACAACTAGAGCAACCAATCAATTTGTAATGACACGTTTATTCACAGAAATACCCAGTTGTTACATATCAGCAAGACAGCAAAAAAAATGTCTGTCTATATTAAAATGAGATTTTGTGCCGAGATTTTGTGCCATTTGAGAAGCAAATTACTGTACATGTACATGTAATAGTTGTGTCAAGGAGATTCTTAATTTTGTAAATGAAAAATATTCAAAAGGTAATTAACTTGTAGCCAATAGCGACATTGTAATAACTTCTGCCTTGTGGTGTAATGACATCCAGCACCACTGAATGTGCTCCATGAGGCTCGTAAATGTCTGCTGAATGTCACACCTGATCACAAGAAAATTACTTTAAAAAAAAAAAAATGTTGCCCCCCAAAATCTTTGGTACAAGTTCAAGTTCAAAATATTATCAGACACTTCCGTTTTATTTATTTAACATCTTAAACATGTAAGATAGATCTTGGTTTTCCAAACCATCCAAATGACTAGATAATATTTCTTGCTAGGTCATCTGTCCTGCATCGCTGACATTATTTAGTAACAAGGGAAAACCATGCTATAAACTCCTGGGGAACTTTCTCAGCCAACAATTGAACCCCACACTTCCTACCCACTGAGCCACATCATCTTCCATCATCATTTTCATCTAGATCCACATGTATGTTAATATAATCTGATATGGTTATTCTGCTTACTGAAACATCATTTTTATCTAGATCTATGCTTACTGAAACATCATTTTAAATGTAGAGCTAGCTCTAATGGAAAATTTAAGCAATATCTAATGAACAATAACCCTCCCATAAATTCTAAACATTACTGAGGAAGGACACTTTTTGTCCGAAACGTTTACAATAAATTAGTTTATAATCTACCAGGAGTTCGTCTATCTTCTCTGGTTAAAGGGGTTGCCTTTCTACTTATTTAAAATTCTAAACAACATGGTTATTGACATTGTAGGTCAATATTTTTAACTTTTTCCATAAAATTCTTTTTTTTCACAGCTTTTTGACAGTTATTTTGAGTTTAAATGACGCCAAAAAAAAAAACCCATTCGATTTGGTTCCCTCTTCTAAAAGAAGGTCACTCATCGCTAATTTTAGAAAATCAGAAGAGATGTTGCAAGTGATTTTTATGTACAGTATAAATGATTTTCAGCTATAGCAATGCCTAATTCGAACTAAACAGAACATTGTATTTCATAAATGAATTATCAGTCTTTTTGTCACAGGCCATACTGGTCAGCTTCTATTTTTTGTAGAAGTCACCTTCAGCTAATAACAGCCCAGTTTCACTTTAAGTCTTGTTATCCATTTGCTGAAAAATTTGGAATTTCACCTGACTGATACTCAACAGTCAGTATGGCCTTATCAACTTATTCAGGTGTGTATTTCAATATGCCAATGATCAAATTTCATTGTGAATGACATAGCAAGATTTTATGAATAAATTACATGTAGCTTTTGTCTTAGTTGATAATAAAGTTCTTTTTACTACAGTTCCACACACAAAGCTGCCATAGACTGGTGGCTGGTGAGATTCAATTGGCCTTTAAAGATCCACAGCCATTCAGATAAAGATTCGAGGACCAATGACATCGGAACGACTATTGGTAGAGTAAGGGTTTAGCAATTTCAGACTAAATTAAGGTAACATTTATTTGGTTACTGGAATGCACTAGTGACCATTCAAAATCTGGGTCAGCTCCTTTAATAATAATAGTAGTTTGCCAGCCCACCAACAGCTTCAACATCCGCTCTTCATTCATAAAGGTTTCGCCATTTATGCTGTGAAAGGATCCTGTACTTTATACCCCAAAACTAACTACTCGTGAAGATCGGAGAATAATCGATTAATTATGTTTATCAACAATCACAGGGGCAATAAACTCAGGAAATTCTCTAGCAAAGATTCAATATCAATTTACCCCAATACTACATGTACATATGTACATGTAGTATTGATCTTATGCTTTGTTGATCATACATGATTTGGCAGAGACTTACATGTACACTCGTATTCAAGAGTGTCACCTGTGTCACCCCCAAGACGAACAATAAGATGAGTAGCACTAGGGGATTAGTTTCTGGTTCTAAACAATTTTAAATGGACATGGTAGGGATTAAGCACAAAATATGACAATATATTATACATAATGCGGAATGTGACAGGCCAAATTTTCCAGGTCAGCAGCCAGTAGCTCAGACTTATTCTTCCATGAATTCTAAATTACTGTTTTAACCTTCAACAAGCACTTTATTTATTGGTTCGCTAACTTGGAGGTCCCGTGTTCGATCCCGATGTGGGCCGGGGCCTGGGATGTTCTGGCATGGCTCCCCTTTGTCAGTGGTGCAGGACAGTTGGCAACAGGTTGTGTGTATACATTGACTTGCACGTAAAAGAACTATTTACATTTAGAATTTAAAATAAGACTAGGCCGTAGTGCTGCTGTCCTGGCAAAATTTCCCTCGTAGCCTACTGTATGGCGTGTACCCGTCTTCATTAGGCCAGTCAGAGCAGAACAGTAGGAGTAGGACATTAAACCCCATTTCATTTCATTTCACCTACCATGTACATTAGGCCCTAAATTATGTATGTGTAATTAATACTAATCATCAGGGATATAATTCCATTTTAAGGACGCACTTGAAGCAGAAGTTTGCTTGTTGATTTCAAACAAACAAGCCAGAATTTGGTTTCTCAGAAATTCAAAAGGCAATATATTTTGAAATTAAAATGACAAAATATTTATTTCGCTTGGCTTACGATTTTAGCTGTAGGGAAAATTATAAATGTATTTGTGATACATGTATTTTACATCTTTTTTTCATTTTCATTACTACCATAAAAAAAATATTTGCGATCTTGTATAATAATAAAGTAAGGCATACATTCTCGATTACAATAAATAAACTTTTATATTTGACACCATAAGGTACATGTAACAACACTGACCTATTTAAAAGCTATTCTGCAATGTTGTAATTGTATAGTTTTTAAGATAATGAAAGGACTGACAGACAACACTACCATACATGTAGTTCAATATGTATCTCAGTCGAACTTCCAAACACATGCACAGTGTATCTGAGCAGATGTCACAACTTGATGGATGTCGATGAATGAAAGGAGGAAAAAATTCAATAAGCTTTTGTTTTTTGGTCAGAATTAGAAACTACATTATCAATATGGGGTCATAATTACAAGTACATGTATCTGGTTAACCAAATGCTGGGGTTAAGTACTTGTATAATTGTAACCCTACTGTACTAGATGTACAATGTAAAGAAGATCATGTTGAGAAGATAGATAAGTTTAAAACTAGCCTGTCTGATAACGCTGTTTGAACTGTCAGAGAAACTGCCATCAGATCTTTTAAACTTGCCCTTTCTTTTTCCACCTTTACCCTACAATAATAATAAGATTAAGTAGCAATATAAAATATTGTAATAATAATAAGACAATAAGGCACTTAGACAACACCAATTTGATTTTCTCATCTTCAAGATCCTGATAAATAAATAGCCACGTGGAAGATTATTTCTTTAAAATTTTAAAACTTAAAAAGTAAGCTTAAACTTATACATGTATCTACATGTACTATGGTTTGTCCAGTGAGTGTATAACCTGCACGAACACATGTGTAAGTATGTCTACATGCATGTCAATAACTGTAGCCTCTAGAGCGTCCACAAGATTTTTTCATAGTGTTCAAGGGCCATAACTCTGGTAGTAATTATTCGAAATTGCTGAAAATCAATAGACTTCCTCATCTCATGACCCTAAACGCTGTGTGTAAGTCTAAAGTCAAATCGGATATTAATTTGGGCAACGACAATGTACAACGACTTTTCAATGTGGGCGTATAAAAATGAGAGGGTGTCACTAATTGGCATTAAGAGCTGTCTGCTCTAATGACGTCAAAGGTGTCACGCATAGATTGTGTGACCTCGTGCCGTTAGGGAGCGTCTGAAGTACATGTATATGTTGATAAACTTGATGGTAAGAAGACGTTGAAAAAGTGAGAGACTTAAACGTACAACAGTTTTTGAGATAAAAACCATGGAAAAAGACATGGGCAGGGGACAACCCGAAAATTTACTTAGGCTTGGATATTTATAATAAATGGATAGCGATTAAAAAAGACAACGTCGTCTTTTATATGCAATGAAATGAATTCTCCTCCGACTTTGCAGTCATTGACTTCAATTAATAGATTTTTTATAGCTGGGAGTATTTCCTCGCTAATACAATGACATTGTTTTGAGAGGGATTTGAAGCAAGTTTTTGATAGATTAATTACTTTGAATATGTTTTTAGTCCAAATATATCATCAAATCATGCAGTTTGTTCACAGGAAGGTATCTTTCAATATTTACAAAGTTATGTTAAATTATGCAACAAGAATCTGCCATCTTTTATTGGTAGCGGAGAAACCTGATGGGCATACAATGTAGTTAAATCCGACTGAATTCAAGAAGCAAGGTTATCTACTGTAGCATTGATATTTTGATTAGGTTAAATAACAATCAATCTGACTCTGAGTATATATTTAGCGTTTATTAAGCCGTTAGAAATTTGATATTTCAGCAAAAATACAGAGAAACCGGCCTTTAAGAGCAAACGTGGCAACAGGCCTTTAAGAGCAACTTTTTTCATCACTGAATTACCTGGAAACCACTAACAAATTTGTTGTAGATACTAATTATATTCATTTGTAGCCATTTTCTAGACGGTCTACAGTTCTTAGAAATACTTTGTTTAGTTCTCACTTTACCATTTCAACAATGGTTTTGTTGTACGGATTTGGTCAAAATCATGCCATTGATTGAAGAGCCACCATTGCTAACTGAAAGCTGTTGCCAAGGAAAATATTTTATCTTTTTCAATCACTACTGTATCACAAGACCAGCAGCATACAGAAACAAGTGCTGTAATTAACGAATCAGGTGGGGCCTGTACAAATAATAATGTGACATAATACCAGCTTATTTATCGCTGAGAATTTACTAACTATTTTTAAACATTAGAAAATACAGTTTCCTCAAGGAGATGAATGCTTCCATTGCAATTAGCATACATACAATAAAAATGTACTAGTTATCTCATGACACTGAACTAATTTGGTCAGATTGTCTTTTTTCCAGACTGGACTGTATATGAGCAGAAATCATCCTTTGAGATTTGCTTACATCTCACTTCTGACAAACTTTGCTAACTCAAAAGCCTATTTAATTCCTTACACAATATTCTTCTTAATCAACCGGGCCCCGGTTTCACAAAACATTCTCAGACTTTAGTTAAGAATTTACTCAAAATTGTTCGCTTTATGTTAACTAAAATATGGCCCTTTATAAAACTTTTGTTGTTTTAATGTATCAAATACATCAATAAGAAACTATGTGCAAAGTTTTGTATTTCTGGGTCAAAGATACATGTATTTCTCATAAACAGGGATTGAAAGTTGAGTAAATTCTTAACTTAAGTCTGAAAATGCTTTGTGAACTCGGAGCCAGGAGAAAAACCATGAGGATGGACAGGTGATCTACCTACTCCTTGTTACATACAAATGTACATGTACAAGCTGGAAATCAAAACCATGCCACTTCACTCAATAGCAGATCTTCCCATCTAAAGCATGTTCAATTCGACCACTGAACCCAAGTGCAGCAAATTTAAAGACCCTTTCCAGTGAGGTTCATACGTTATGTACAAACAAGAAGTTATTCAAAGGTGCGGTCGTAATGTTCTTTTTAAAATCAAACTAGTGGGTTATTGGGTGCCATCAAGTCTGTACTCCTTGCGGTGTCTCGTTTGATTAGACCTAATCCCACTCAAACGCTGCTGGACTGATCGATGATTCCTGTACCATATTATGACTGGTTAACAGTCAGGTTAACAACCAATCCATTACACAGCATAACAAATATATTGGGATTAACCAGAGCTCTAAATATGTTAACGTTAAAGTGTATAATGACAATCATGTCTACATTACATCACCATCTATATTGCAGAAAAACTAAATGTGTGACAAACAAGGCTATACAAAGTAGCTGCAAATGTAAACATCGGGTAATCAATCACCACATGTACATGTACAATCTTTTTATCATCTGTTGTACAACACAGCAGACTGACAATATTTTCAACATTTATTAATGTATCCGAAGTTTATAGGAAGACACCAGGTTAAAGAGACAAGACTGCCATGCTACATATTTAGTTTCAACAAACTGAATAAAACAACGACTTCCAGCAATGGTACATGTACTCAGGTGAGATTTGATTGGACAATAAAAATAAGACACTTTCTGTCAAAACCCTAATTTTTCGTCTTAAGTGCAACAATGGCTAGACAGGGATTTCTCAGGCCACTGCTTCAGAAATATGGTGACTGTGGTATCACAAAAACATAATTCCCTCACAATTAGTTGAATTACTTGCAAGCAGATTGACCTGCCTTTGAATTTTGAAATGAAATGGAGTTTAACATCCTACATGTACTTTTCTGCACCATCCGGGGTAGTAAAGACAAGCAGCATGCAGTGTACTATGAGGGAAACTTTGACCAGACAAGAGTTACCAGCAGGCAGAATACTGTTAGCTATTAGAGCTTTCCTAAAAATGTTGAGATCTGATGTGTTTGCTTTTATTAAGCTACTATTGGAGCCTTTTAGTTTCATCTTGCAAACTCATTTTGTTTATCAATACATGTAAGGCCTTAAAAATAAGATAAGTTGACAAATTAAACATAACCAGTCCAATTTAGCAACACAGTTTTCACAAAATAACAAATATTATTGGTGAAATTAATCAAGCACTTGAAGCAGTGGAGTTCTTTTTTTCAACGCCTTTGGCAATTCATTTGTGGTTACTAGTTATACTACATGTATGCAATATTAATACATGTATATGTACATGTACATCATAGGCTATGCACCAACAAAAGACATACAGGTGCTAACAGTAATCAATGCATGTCTTCCTGGTAACCGCTTCAATTTAAGTGAGCTAAATCGCTAATATTTGGGACCTAGAAATTGTCACAAATGGGTCGTAACGCATATCATAATGTAATATGATTGTATATAAATTGATTTACATTCAATCGTTTCTGTTTTTACTGTAATTTCTAATCAGTTATGTTCGGCGAAATATGCCAGAAGTCTCAATCAAATGGCAATCTCTAGCGTCTGGTTATTCAAGTCTACACCGATAGTATTTATTGACCATGCCCTCCAGATAAGAATATGCTGTCACCGTTTTTACATGACTTGTGAAACATGCCTAGCCTTGTTTTTCAAGTCCCTTGTTACAAATGACGCTGAAATGCATGGTAAAATGTTTATTTTGTCTTAATTATTGGATATCAGAAGCCCATCTTTTCCCAGTAAGGTCACATCAATGTTGATTTAAATTGACAAATAATTTGTGTTTCCAATGTCGAAGAATTTGGATGATATTGAGTTAGAGACTTAGCTACTTTAAGAGATGATTTGCACCTGTGTCAGGTAGGATTATAATAATGCTTAATCGTCGTTCACAGCTAGGTCAGTGGGGAAAATTGAATAAGTAACAATAATCAAACGTAAACAAAAATGTGATACTTCTTGCTCAAACAATGCTTTGTGCCTTATGAAGGCTCTGCAAGGTAGAACTATATAAATTAATTTTGATGGGTATAGAGATGAGGTATATTATCTATGCAGCAAAATTTGAAAAAAGTGTGAAACTTTTTACACCTGACCAGAGCTTCTTTTGATATTTACTTTCTTGATCATGACAAAGTGGAGGCTGCATGTACATGTACAATGGTATCAACATTATATCATTAAATGGAAAATCACATTATGATTATGATAATAGTTTTGCCATTGTGGCTCTTTACAGTATGGTACAAAATAAGAAATTAAAAATGCAAAAACTTTTTTTTACAAGATAGAAGCAAGAACAATCTTAACACAGAAATGAAGGCAGGATTTAGAAGACCACTTAGGCAAAATCTAGTACCGGTAGTAGGAATAACAATAAGTTAACTACCCTCCTCCCAATCTGTTTTACAGACCTAATTCGACATCCGTCTTTTATCTCTGTCCAAGATGACTGACCTTTAAAAGGTCAGACCGCTGTAGTTCTAAGGGTGACGTCACATCACAATGTTTACCAACAAAGCAAGATGGCATCGATAACGCCAAAAAAGATTACTTCTGTGGCTTGTTTTTGTTCGTTTTAAAACAAACACGAGCAGGTCAATCAGATTAGGCAGTAAAAAATGTACTTCTGAAAGAATTCAGAGTAAACAAACAAAAAAATGCAAATTGAATGGTCACACGTGCGTTGTTAACATCGAACGTAGTAATATGAACTGGTACGGGCAGAATTATATCGTTTTACCCATTTTACGCCTCCGCGTACTATTTTCTGTACCTATTTACGCTAAATATGGAATATTTTTTATCAAGTTATACTTCAAACACCTTTATTTATTTTTCTAATACTAAAAAAAAATGTTTCAGAATTTAATTTGTCGAAAGAAAAAAGTTAATATTTTGTAGTCATTAAGTCGCATCGATGTCATCCTTATCAGTGATTGTAGCGGCCAAGCGAATATTCACTGCGGATCAGTGTGCCCTCCTCCATTAACATTAAATAAGATTAATTTACAGAGAAAATTTCAGAATTTGTAAGTTTACACTGTGCATTCTAATTTTCTCTAAGCTATCATTAGTTTTGTGCAAATGTGAGAAGTGGAGGGAATCTATCTATATACCTAGTGTAAAACATAATGCAAACTAAATAGATTACATAATTTCGTTTTTGTGGTCAAGCTTGTGCTTCACTACACAGACATTTGCATTAAAATCACGTAGTAGCACCTTCTTTGATAGTGATAATGGTTGACAGAGTCAGACAATACTGTCAAAGTTTTCTTCAAATTACAAGAATCTGAAGAAATAAGCTGAACTAAGAAGTGACGACAGAACTACATGTACTAATATGTAGCCTAGGTCTAGTGCCATGACAATTTCCAATTACTAAATTAGGACGTGGATGCCTGTGGAACCTAGTCCATTAAACTGTGTCAAACACGGTCTATGACAGGAATTTGCATAAACAAATGTATAGAAAGGTTTTAACTTTATATTGGGATAAAAATAATTAGCAGAAAAACTGCGTACTTGCGAAACTGGCGGCATGTCTTTCTCTATGAAGTCTCTAAATTGAGCATTCGGTCCCGCCATTTTGAGTTGGTCGTATTTGCTGAATTCGACGCCATATGAATATTTAACGAAGTCTAGACCATTATAAACACCATAGAAGAATAATCTTGTGGTCTACTGATATTAAACCAATCTTGTCCTGGGTAAAATCCGTCTTCTTTTCTGAATCTACCACACCAGCAGTTTTTCTCACTAGAAGATGTCAAGATAATGTTGACTTCCATACGGGGCTCGAAAGGAACTAATTATGATTTGGCACTAACATTGGTCCGCTTTGTAACTAATCGTTTTGGTTACATATCGCTTTATGCAAAATTTTATAAACATCTGCTTCGATAGACATGCAAAGAGGAAAACGATTTGATCCGTAAATTATTAAAATATTCAACTAATATCCGTCTTTCCCTTCGATTTATAAATTGAAATGGCGACCGCATTAATATACACAAAATCGTGTATAGTGCTGAAGAATTTTCGATACACGATGTGATGTAGTCGTGTTTATCCAGACTGCAACTCACTATACCGTAAAGCGAGATCGAGACTATTATTATAAGAAGCGTATGACATGATTAATAAAATAGACTAATAATCATGAAAGAAAAGAAAAGTTTTGAAAGTCCTTTATAAATTTGATGCTAGAGAAAACGTTTAATAATTATCGTCACATTGAATAGCGGATGAAAATATATTTTTGGCTTAAAAATTCATGCAGTCAACAATTTCCCTATTTCGCTTTGAAAAGTAATATTATTATTATTATGGATATACGTAGTAATGATTTATACTAATCAGTTCATCGATACAAAATTATACCTAAAATGTGCGAATATTTGTAACGTAATATATAGTATGAATATGGGAGGGGGAAAATGGAAGCAGGATTATGATGTATTTGGATGAAGCGATGTTGATGAATTCGACCGGGCAGAGCTTCAACCGCTAATATTATGTCAAACTATATAACATTGCCTATTTATTTATTTTTTTTTGGCGGGGGGGGGGGGGATTTTTTTTTTTTTTTCATGTGCAGTTTTAATCAATGTTAATAATAAGTCCCAAAGACTACAAGACAGACACAAACAAACAACTACACATATACTGCTTGAAAATAAAAACACATCATTCAAGACAAACACGGTCTATAAAATCTGGGCCCTTATTCACGAAAACTTAAACTAAGTTACAACCGAAATTTTAAGAAATACTGCAACTTCATTGGATATATGCAAATTGATTTTACTGGTCAGCCAATCGAATTGCAGTATTTCTTAAAATTTCGATTGTATCTTAGTTTAAGTTTTCGTGAATAAGGGCCCAGGTTTGTAAGAGACTGACTTTTAAAAATCACCTTTAATGTCTGTTTTATGGTTGGTGGTGGGGTGGGGCGTCAAAAGGTGTATTTAATTTTTTTTTTTTTAAAAAACGCGTATTGCCCTATATTAGCCGATTGGTGCAAAAAGTACTCCGTTAAACCGATTAGGTCTATTTGATAAGGCCAACTGCCAGTGTGGTCAAAGGTCACGAGATGTAAACAGGGCTAGCGCTAACCCCAACCCTAAAACTGGGCCTAGCCCCAATGCTTCTAACCTACAATCTCGCCAATAATCACGTGTCCGAACCTTTTTTTTTTTTTACATCTCAGCGACCTTGACGAAAATTGAGCTGGCCTTAACAAATAGATTTAGCCCCGTTAAATCCCCATTACATTTCATTACCTCTGACATGGGAGAGTGTGCGTGTGTATGGAATACAATCAAAGAGACTGGGCCTAGGGCGTAGTCCGAGGGCATAGAGGAATTAGGGGCCACCATTGGAAAAAATAATTTGACATACATTTTTACAAAATAAATTAAATTCACTTTTGCGTCCACTGAAAAATATAATGGCCTATTTTTTTCCGTCTGCAAATTAAATTCTAATAATGCATGTGCTATCCACGCCGTGTGACGTGGCGTGAACTTATAAAGGTCAGTCGGGGGGTTGGATGGCCGAATGGTTAGTACGTGCGCACTGTACCATGAAGTCTGTCATTGAGTCAACTGGCGTGGTTTCGATTCCCCGGTTGTACGGGACAAGGAGTAGGGTCGCCTGTCGAACCTCGTGGGTTTTTTCACTGCTAAAGACCCCTACGCCTAAGCGAATTATTGAAATAAAATTGAACCATGTGTTAGTCTCGAAATGACCTAGTTTGTGGCGAGTGGACGTTTTCCCCCTCTCTCTCTCTCTCTCTCTCTCTCTCCTCCTCCTCTCTCTCTCTCTCTCTTAGTGGAGTGCGGGAAAGGTCAATGAATGAACCTAGTTCGTTTTTTCACCGTGTCACATTATTCTTCACCGCGATAGGGGCAAAAGGAATTCAGTTAGTCAGTGCCCTTTGCTACCAGTCTGCCCCTGCAAAGAAGCATTTGTTTTATTGACAAACGCCCTTATTGTATAAATGATATAATTTAAAATCTATTTATGGTGTGCTTTTGAACCCCGAATATGTTTAATGTTTATTCGAAATAATCGTGATATGGGCAATGTGCGAACCACCCTTCAAGCTCCCCTATATCGCCAGCATGATAACCGATTATCAGCAGATGATAAGCTATGTTTACCCGGGCCCGGTGTCGCTGCGTATGAAATTTTTATAACTTCCGAGAATTCATTAATCCCATTGCTTCACTTGTAATTACTAATTACATACATGAGATGGGGCATAACGTCCTACTTTTCTGCACCGAGTGGGCTAATAAAGACAGGCGTACGCCACACAGTGTGCAATTAGGGAAATTATTGTGTTTGGATATCGAATTCCAACTATCAAGGGTTCTTTTACGTGCACGCCAGTGTGTACACATGATCTCTGTTTACAAAATAGATTATTGTAAGAATAAATCCATGATTTGCAATTCTATTTCTTATTTACTTACTCCCATTTTTCTTTTTGTTTATTATTATTAATAGGCCTACAGAGTATACTCTTAAACATGCCTTACATTTTACTTGCTAAAATGTTATATAACTGAACTGAACTGAAATGGGGTTTAACGTCCTATAAAGACGGGTTTATAAAGACTGGCATACATCATACAGTGTGTCATGCATGAGGGAAATTTTGCCCGGACAGCGACTCTACGGCCTACTCTTATATCAAATATCTTGTGGATTGACAAGATATGCGTTTCTAGTCTTTAGTAAATGTCAATTCAAAAAGAAATATATTTTTGTCTGTTTAGAAATTGACACACTGTAATCTTGAAAAGAAAGAGTAAAATGTTACGAAGCAATTTTTTCATGGCTTTTAAATTTGGATATATACTTTACATTTTAATTCACCCTACATGGAGCCACGGTGGCTAAGTGAGTAAGACGCTAGGCTGGAGGTCACGGGTTCGATCCCTTGTCAGTGGTGCAGGACGGAGACCTGACAAGGACAGCTGTCTAGTCACACTGATCCGACAAAGTAAATTCTAAAACATTTTTTTTATGTATTAAAAAAATAAATAAAGACGTTTGAAGTATTTGTAGGTAAAACTTTTTTCCTATTTTAGTGTAAATGGGTATTAAAATGAGTAAAAGGCGCCATTCTGCTCGAATCTGTAACGTCTTATAAACAATGCACGCGCCATTGAGTCAATGATTGACGCCGTGTTATATTTGTTGAAGGCAGTCTTTTACAGAGATATTAGAAGAAGATTTTCGTAATACTCTGTGAAACAGATTGCTGTCTAGTCGTTCGTGTGGTACGAGAAAGAAATGAGGTTTAACGTCCACTCGACACAAACTAGGTCATTTCGGGACTAACATATGGTTTATGTTGTTTTCAACGAGGTTGGACAGGCGACCGTACTCCTTGTCACGTACAACGGGGGATTCGAAACCACGCCAGCTGACATGTGCCGATGACTAGTCTGGGTATACGTTTGTATGCCGTCTATGACTTGCCATAATTTTGTTTTGCAAAATTCAAATATTTTTCATATATATTTAGCCAGCTGTGCCGCTATTGTTTCATGTGTTCCAAGGTGTGCCGTTGGCAAAGAAGGTTGAGAACCACTGCCCTATAACATGCCCATTTGTGCATTTTATTACCATATACAATATACAACATATTCATAGTTCTATTGTATGAGTTCATCGGGATTTTCCGACGTGGTTTCCCCTTGTTAGTGGTGCAGGACGGAGGGCCTGACAAGGACAGCTGCCTCGTAGTTCGGATGGGACAACAGACTGAGATCCCGTATACACATTGGCGTTCACGTAAAAGATCCCCTGGCAGATGGAATTCGATTTAAGAGTAGGCCATAGTGCCGCTGCCCGGGCAAAATTCCTTCATAGCACACTACATGGCATATGCCCGTCTTCATTAGCCCAGTAGGACGTTAAACCCCATTTCATTTCTATTGTATGACGATGCATTCTGAACCCAGAGACACGCAACTCACGGAGAACAACAGGTATAATTTTCCGCGTGATAGTTTCGTATGGGATGATCATCGAAAAGGACATTTTCAAAATATTGATTACAATAACTGGGTGGAATTATCTAACGCACCTTGATTGAGGGGAGATAATCAATTTAAGAACGCTCAAGTTCAAATTAAGCTAAAATTTATTCGTTGCAGAGTATTATAACTGGGGTTCATCAAGACCACGAGCATATATTCTCGAAGCAATATTAAAGATACATTACACAGAGCTAACCCTTTTCCCATTTCAGGTCTTCAAATGCCTTATAAATTATTATTTAGACATTTATTCACATATAATCAACTCTCTAGACCACCAACTGGCTGGGATATTAAGTTGATTATTCAATATCTGCCATATCTTCGTTAAATGTTAAAATGTAAAATAGAGACATCGCTTATTATGGCAGCAAAAGCACTTGACATCCGAAACTTTTTGTTCAAATATTCTTTACTTCACTCAGAATAATGTAATTTGACAGAAATATATTCATTTTTTATTATCTACTTTTGAACTCTTACAGCTCGAACGACAAGCTAAATATCTAAATCTTAAAGGAGCTAAATCGCTAATATTTGGGATCTAGAAATTGACACAAATGGGTCGCAACGCATATAATAATGTAATATGGGTGTATATAAACTGATTTACATTCAATCGTTTCCGTTTTTACTTTAATTTCAAATCAGTTATGTTCGGCGCAATACGCCAGAAGTCTCAATCGAATGGCAATCTCTAGAGTCTGGTTATTCCAGTCTACATAG